AAGGGAAGGAAGAGGAAAAGAAGGATGAGGATGAGAAAGAAGAGAATGAGAACGAGTCAAAGAAAGAAGAGGAGGAGAAAGAAGAGAAGGAGGAAGAGGAAAAGAAGGATGAGGAGGAGGAAGAAGAGAAGGAGAATGGGGCTAAGAAAGAAGAGGATGAGAACGAGCATGAGGTGTTTGCCAATGAGGTAAACTATTTACAATTACATTTGACTATTGTACATTTTTTCTTGAATAACAATTTGTTCCTTCTGGAATTAATATTTTTTTGTTCTAAAAACTCTTAGTCGATTCATGAGGAGAGGTCCGAGAATAAGTCCCCTCAGGATTTGGAGCAGGTGGTTGAGAATGAGGTAAACGAATATTTGTACATTATTTCCAGAATTAAACTTCCGTTCTCGTAAACGACTATTTTTTGTTGCCAAAACTCTTAGGCGATTGATGAGATGGCTGATGTGGAGAAGAAGTCTCATGAGATTATTGAGAGTGTGGAGCAGGCGGTGAACACTAAAATTAATGAGAGTGAGAAGAAGTCTCCTGAGATTATTGATAGTGAGAAGAAGTCTCCTGACATTGTCGAGATTGCTCATGAGGCTGTTGACTACACTGTGAGTACAACAACTAATTTTTGTTCCAACGGGATGATTTGTCGGACCAATACGGTGCTCTCTTCCCAATTTATTCGAGAAAGAAGGGTGAAATTTATGCCTGCCTCTCGCAAAAAGAGGTGGTAAGGCCTAAAGCAGTGGATTGGGACCTCCTGAACGACCTAGGTATTCTTGAGGATGTGATGAAGTACCTTAAGGTCCTCAACCTTACCGAGTACGCCAAGATCGAGGAGATATCGTATCGAAGCCTCATGCTTGAGTTCTATAGCTCATTTGTTCTCGCCGACGGGAACGAATACTTCACTTGTCGGCTAAAGAGGAAGGACTTGACAGTGGACAATGCCGTGATGAAGAATGTTTATGGATTCACCATAGCTGGGACGCGAAGCAATGCCATCGAGTTCGATGCTAAGAGGAGTTGGGCCAAGCTTTCACCGCATACGACTTGGGATTCCGCCGGCATGTCCAACGGCTTTATTCAGGACTTGGCCACTGTCGTTGTGCACAGGTTTATCTGTTATAACATTTCTGGGAAAAAGAAGCAAACAAAGTCAGTGAGGTCGAGCTGTTTCTCCTATGGGCGACGAGGGCGGGTGTGCGAGTGTGCTCCATGACATTCCTGCAGAACACCTTAGAAGAGATTGCACTCAATCGGCGTGGAGCACCGGCACTTGGTCATTTTGTTACCGCACTCGCCAAACATTTCGATATCGATCCTATGGCCTACACATTGCACGATGATACGTGGGTACCAGACAAGACTCAGATGCGATGTATTAATTTTAATGAGCTCAAGCAGGCTGACCTCATCAAGAACCGCACCACAGCTCAGGAGTATACGAAACGTCAGGCTTACGAGACCTATTTCAAAAAGCTCCGGCAGAGTGCGCCCGATTCCGATCAGCCAGGCTCGTCTCGGCAGCCGACGGACGGAGACGAGCATGAGCAAATGAAGGTCGACAATTCCCATTCCCTCCCACATCCACCCATATGCACAACCCCGATCCCACAGCCCGAGATTCCTTCTCAGCAGCCACCGGCATGGTGGTCCACTTTTCAGACTCAGTACACGTCTGACATCCGCTCTATCCACGACCGCTTTGATGCCCAAGACAATAGATTGACTAGACTCGAGAGCCGGCAGAACACTCAGTGGGCCAGCTGGGAGACCCAGAAGAAGACTCATTGGGACCATTGGGAGACCCAGCAGCAGGCTCACTGGACTCAGATGGGCATGCACTTCGACAACTTTAATGACGATCTCCAGTCTATTCGTGAGCGGCAGGAACAACAGGATGCTCGGATGGGCATCTTGGATCAGAGGTTCACCCAGTGGGACACCCGTTGGACCTCAGAACCCAGTCAGCCTTTCCCCCCTCCGCCACCACCACCTTCGGATGAACAGTGACTTTTCACTGTGCTTTGAATGTTGTTCGCACGTTTTCATTATGTTCTATCCTAGTTTATGAATGTTGTTCGCATTTGAACTCCAGAACATATTTTTCGGATTGTTATTTTCGGATTCGTTTTGCACTCAGATTTTTTTTAAAAAAAAAATAAAATAAAAAATAAAAAGTAAAATAAAAATAAAAATAAAAATAAAATAAAATACAAGGAACACAAAAATATCCACTGAGGATCTAAACTCAAATCCTCATACATGTCGACCTGGTCAGAGTGACCAGGCATAGAGTCCAAAATGTCAAATCTAGTCAGGGGCAGGAGGTGGCGGTCGACCGAATCTGAAGGATGGGTACTCTAACTGGTCCATCCGAATGAGCGTCCGAAGCCGTAGGGGAATGTCCTCAGGAAGAAGGGTGCGTCTCTGAGGTATAGATGCTCTCGTGCTAGCAAGGAAATCAGCAGGCCGGTTCCCCTCCCGGAATATGTGTGAGACCTGGTACTGGATCGAGCGGAGGGTGTCTCTGATACGCATAAGAGGATGCTGGATCTGCCATGAACCCTGGTGGCCACATGTCAAAAGTGTGATGACAACCGCATCATCCATCTCTATCCAAACATGAGAGGAGATCGAGGCGGCAATCTCAAGACCAATCTGGAGCGCCTGAATCTCTGCACTATAACTCGAGGAGGCCCGGAGTGGCCCATGGAAGGCGGAGATGAGAGCCCCCTCATGATCCCTAATCAGGCCCCCTCCTCTAGCAGCTCCGGTGTGTCTGTCGAAAGCGCCATCAGTGTTTAGCTTAACCCAAGGGGCCTTGGGTTTCAGCCAAACAATGGTCCTGGGTCGTGAATGCTTGACAGGTGGAGGAGGTGGTGGCCTCAAACGATGGGGCGGTGTACACCCTGTCTAGTCTCTGGTCGTGAGTCTACCCAGGGCAGTGATGAGAGAGGTGTCTGTCAACCTGCAAAATAATGTGAGCACAAGAAAAAATAATATCCCTATGCTTCGCATTATTCCTTTCTGTCCAGGTGGCCCAAAGGATCAGACAAGGAATAAAGAAGCCCACGTGTCTACTGTGTGTGCGGTGAGCGAAAAAACTCAGAAGGCTCAAAAAACTGTCTGTAGTGGGTAGGGTATATGAGTATATCTGGCATAGTGCTCCCACACTCTCCTCACAGTCTCACTCTCAAGGAAAAGATGGGTGAAAGTCTCGATCTCAAAGGTACTGGTCTCAGCACAACAATGGCAGCGGGAGGGGAAGGAAAACCTTCTCGCCTGCATCACAGTGTCAATGGGAATACGTCGTAAGAGGAGGCGCCACAAAAAAAAGGAAATGGTCGGGGTGAGAAGGTCGGTCCATATGACCCCGAAGAGGCGGTTTGGCTGGTTGCCCAGCCTCACTTCTCCCCAGGCTGATGACGTAGAGAATGCACCCGAAGATGTAAGTCTCCAACTCATGCCATCCAAACCTCCCTCCATGATGGGAATCTGTCGGATCTGGTCAATCTCTAGACTACTAAAACCCCCACCCTCACCAAGAATATCCTTCATCTTATCTCTATCCCAAAATCCTCCCGTCCAAAGGTCCTTCACCTGCATGAAAGGCAGGTGAGTGACTGGCCTAGTACTCGAGAGAGGGGCCTCGCCGGACCACCACTCATCCCAGAAGCTAACCTCCCCAGAACCCAAGCTCCAAAATATGTGCTTCTGAGCACGTCTGCCAACAGTGGTGAGACGTCTCCACTGTCGACTATCCCGGGTGGTGGCTGTCACCCTGCAAGGATGAGCAGCACCACTAGGGCAATATTTCCTCATGAGGTATTGGGCCCAAAGGGACTTGCCCTCCCTAAGGCGCCACCACATCCTGTAGGAAAACGCAGTAACCATATCAGAGAAACGCCGAACCCCGAGCCCACCCTCAGAGTGGGGACGACAGATGGAGTCCCACTTCACCCAGTGGGTCTGCCGCCGACCACGCGGGCCCTCACCATAACTCTAAAAATAGCGGGCTAAGATCTGATCTAACTCATGAATCGTAGACTGGTGGGGGTCAAGCACCGCGATAAGGTGAAGAAGGAGGGCACAGAGAGTGCTCTTGATCAGAGCAAGTCGACCTCCGAAAGATAGGTGTCTATGAGACCAGCCAGAAATCCGGTCAATCATCCTTTGACGGACGTCAATAAAAAGCTCATGGGAAAGATGGCCTTTGTACAAGGGGGCCCCAAGGTAAGGGATGGGTAAGTCCCCACGAGCAAATCCAGTACGCTCGTGAATCTGGTGAGCCCAACGGTCCGCAACGTGGTGGTCCATGATAAAGAAACTCTTGCTAACACTGACTAGCTGACCAGATGTCTCACTGTAGTGGTCCAAAAGACTCATGAGAGCAACTAGCCCATTATCATTCGCACGGGTGAAAATGATAATGTCATCCGCGTAAGAAAGGTGGGAGATGGGAGGCCCACAGCCACGCGTGCTGTAGGTCATCCTCGGAAAATCGCGAATGAAGTCGTCAAGGCAGCGAGAGAGATAGTCATCCTCGTTTTGCACTCGGATTTTGACTTCGAACCTTCGTATTAATCGTAAGCTTCTATTTTCGTTTTATTAACGAATGTCATGGTTTTCTTTAATATGAATGTTTGTGTTGAGATCGCTATGAGTAACTAAATCCTCTATCTAGGGTTAGGGGATTGTCGTAACAGGTTTCGAAATTTGCGCCATGTTTCTTTCTTGCGGCTATGGAACATATGCTTTTTTTTCCATTTATATGTTGTTTTTTTTTCTTTATTTTATTCATTCAAAATTTTAGGGACTTCACGCACTTCACTTCAATTTTCAATCATCTTAAAAATAACTACAACAAACATAACAAAACTACACACATCAATATGTCCCACAAAGTTATTACATTAACCACACACAAATCAATCATACAAATTACAACCCAATTATGTCTTCCCACAAACAAAACATTCATTTACGATCCATAAAAAACAACATATAAATGGAAAAAAAAGCATATAAACTAGGTAATGTTTTGAGGACACTTGTTCCTACGGTGGCCAGATTGTTTACATTTACCATACAAACGAACTTTGGTAGCGGGACGTCTAGATTGAATTGGTTGCTCAATATTTTGGACTAAGGCAACACAAGTATTAGAGTAATTCCCACTTTCGTGGCATCGTGTACAAAAATGATTTACTTTGAGAGCTCGAAGAAGGGCTAGTAGAAGGTATGCGGTTTGACCTTGGTCTTCCGGCTTGCTTGGGATTAAGCATTTGACAACCATCAAAATAGGTGATGTAGTTAAGTCCCAAGTACTTGGATGCGCAATTGGCATGATTATGGGCTCGTAAAGTTTGCGCCATGTTGTGGTCTTGTAGTAGTCGTGCACATATCCATACACCGATTCGTTTGCCTTCCTAAAAATGGTACATGCATAGAAAACAAATTAAAGGAACACAATATAACATTTTCTTATGTGTAAGATAACAATATGTATGTAAACGTTGAGGCTTTTAATAAATAAAAAAAAAGAATGAAAAAATTACCCGATAGCCTTAATCGCATGTGAACAGGGCAATAAATCCACCTGAAAGAGATAAAAAGTGCATGTCTGATCATTCAAATTGACAACAAAATTCTTGACCCCTTCCTTCACGTGGTAAATGTAGTGATTGATATTTGAAGCTTCCATTTGGTCTGCTGCAGTTTTATAATCCATTAAACGCTTAGATATTGATGGAGGAACTTCACTCAGTCTTTTCTGTCTCGACACATCTTTTGTGAAACCACTCTTGCCTAATGTTTCGAATACATTCAAATAATGAGCAAACAGGCAATTTCCTTGCCCAACGCAACCTATTGTTAAGCACCTCACAAGCATTTGACGTCATGAAACTATATCGTCTCACAGGACATTGACTTCGTGCCCACCTTGTTGGAATGGCTTCATCAATCACAACTTTTTTTGTGTTAGGATATTTTGCCGCAAGCATGGCCATCGACTTCTCGTACACAACAGGAGAATAAGTGTATGAAGCTTTCATATATAAACCAACAGCTTTAGACCCGTGACTTCGAATATTTTATCGAAGGTGGTAGGAACATATGGCATGTACGGCTTCAGGGTAGACAACCTCCATAGCAGACTTTATGCTCGGGTGGCGATCAGAAACAATTACTAAATTTTCCGGACATCCGAAAGTGGAGCGAAGCTTTTGGAGAAACCACATCCACGCACTATAACATTCCTTATCGCCGATACCAAATGCCAAAGGGAAAATTTGTTCATTTCCGTCCTTTGTAGTTGCTACAAATAAGATGCCTTTATACTTACCCTTCAAATGCGTACCGTCAATCACAATAACAGGCCGACAATAACTGAGGAAGCCTGCAGACGCATTAAAAGAAATGAAAGCATACTCAAACACGTCATCTTTATCAGTCTCAATGTATGCCGATGTTCCAGGATTTTCCTTCATCGACATATGAAAACACGCCGGCAAAAGTTCCCAGGATTTCTTATGATCTCCATAAATGAAGTCGTAGGCGGCGTTTTGAGACCTCAGAGTTGTATCGTATTTTAGCTTAATGCCATGATCACGCTCCATGTCACCCATAATCTCTGCAGGCTTTAATACTCG